TTCTTTTTTTATTGCTTAGGTGGGTGGACGAGCTCACAGTCCACCTGGTGTTTAAGTGGTTGCTGGAGCCCATAGACATCTACAACGTAAATGCGCCACCCACCTTGAGACATAAGTTCTAAGGTCTCAGGTATAGTTACAACGGCTACCCCACCCTTCAAACCGAAACGCATTACTGCTTCACGGCAGAAATAAGCAGGGTGGTGGTACCTACCCGCGCGGACTCTCAAGAGGTCCTACCACCAGTAACAAACTCGCCGAGCCCTTCGTCGCAAGCTTTGATCAACAATAATAACTTACTATTGTTGATCGAAGGTCGTAAGCGACGGGTTCGACGAGAACGATGACCGGTGCGATTGCTATGCCCCAAATGCTTCGACGAGAACGATGACCGGTGCGATTGCTATGCCCCAAATGCTTCGACGAGAACGATGACCGGTGCGATTGCTATGCCCCAAATGCTTGACTTAATAATGTGATAAAGTTTCACGGATGGAGAACAAATCGTAAACGGGAGCTATTACAATTCACATAATGATTTGAGTCGGTGAGTTGGTGACTGCCCGTTTGGGATGCTATTTATAAATAGATGTTTAATAAAACACCGAAGCACAGATTTATGCACAAATGTAGCATATTTCGGGCGTGTTTACAACCACACAGCTCGGCGTTCTACATTACAAAAATATACGTCTTCAAACACCAACTAAAAAAAATAGGCTGATGAAATTCAGTCTACACGCCGCTCCTCTGACGGATGTTTGTATATGGATTAAAAGAAATATGTACCTACATCGTGTTACATTAATTCTACGTGGGAACTGTATCGCTAAAATGCTCCAGATTCTGAAATTTTTATTCCGTTTCTAGAAGCTTTATAGTGCGCGTTGAAACGTGCTAGTTGTGTTTATTTTTCTTTTTATTTCGCCTCTGGAAACGCGAATTTCGTTAACGGTTTTTTATCTTTCATCATACGCACACATTTCTGTCGATTAAGTGTTTGTACAACATAGTATCTATGTGTTATTAACGTTTAATCGTGATGTGTGTCGGTTTTCATAGGTTTTATTTTTTTTAATTTTAAATATCGGACATATTATGTTAGCATGTTTTAAAGATTCTAAAAGATATCTCATCAATAGTTACTTATTTAAATTAGACTGAAAATCGTCAATAAACACTGGATATGACTAATCTGACGGAACACTGAAGCTTTTATCGCCGCATCACGGAATGGTTCCGAATAATTTTAAAATGTCTTTGAAGTTTTGATATGCGTAGATTATCGCCATAGGTACGTACAAAAGCAGGTTTACTACCGCCTGTCTACAATTTAATGCGAGCATGATATATTTTTGTAATGTAGTCCATGTGTTAAAATCATCCACCGAAACGGCTGGCCGAACTTTAAACGTTAGGAATTTGAAGTGACGTGGAAATAACCTAGTGTTCTAGGAATAATTACGTCTGAGACTCGTAAATTAGACCGTTAAGATGACATAATTATGATAAGCTACTTGTGGTCGAAATTCGAAGCAAAACAAGCATTTTTTTTTATTTATAATTATTATAGTTATATAATAAATAGTTAATTAAAACGTATTTTTAGTTTAATACACGCGTATGTCTAAACGGCTTTTTAAAATATACCGGATATGGGTGAATCACTAAAACAGACAAACCCGTGGCTCTTTTTGGAAAAAAAAGATGGAGCAATCGATCGAATCTGTTTTAACACAAGTGCAGATAAAAACTTTGATGCGGGGGGAATTGGTCAAACTATTTGCCGAACATTACCGAAACACATTTTCATCTGTTTTCTTTTCACCAATAATGTATAATATTATATTATACCTACATTTTATTAGACCAATAAGTATTATAAATCAAAGACAAAAATTTGTTTACTTTTTAATTTTAGTAATTTCCAAGCTGTTTAGTTTGATCACATGATCCTACAGCTACGGTATTACAGAGTCAATAATTTAATATTTTTTTTTTAGAAAGTGATGCTTCAAGTTTGTTCTCGGTTGGTCCAAATGACTCTTTAATCGTTGATTTGACGTTTGTGCAAGACTTCTGTTCGCGCTCGCTGTTAGGAATTATGTTAGGAGCCTTAAATATTAAGTGTATTGTCTATGGTAGGAGCGGTTTGGCTGTCACGGATGTTGCCAAAATCCATGAGGGGCGGTAGCTACTCAGAAGATCAAGTGGGCGTTGGATAGTCTTGCTTCGATGGCAATAGCAGTGCACATAATTTTAAAGACTCCCGATATTTACTCAACCACGAGTTTATATTAATTGTCATAGAAATCGTGTACGGGTAGGTTATATACTGGTTTTGTGTGTCTTTACGGTTTGATTATACCGTTTTGTCGATCTGCGCTGCTAAGAAGTAATGCGTTTCGCTTTGTAGGGTAGGGGATCCGTTATTTTAGCGCATTCGGCTTTTCCACCTATCTCTCAATGTTGGGATTGGTATTCGTGGTTCTCTTAGGTAGAGCCCCGTAGGTGAGCACCTACCAGTCCGAGCGTACTTGGAATGGCTCCTTAAGCTATCAACGATTAGGCACGAGGGAAAAAACGTGTTAGTATGGACTCGGTGAACCAAAAATGCCGGCTTGACGTGGATTTGACTGTACTAATAAAAGCGGGATTAAGTATTTATTTTATAGAACTGTATGTAGTCCTAATATTTATTGGTAGTACTATTAAGTAAAATACTAATCGGGAGGCAAAAATTTTAATTAATAAAGGCACCTTTTTAAATGCTCGTTTTCCCAATGAATGACCCAAGCAACAAAGTAATCGTGAGCTATAAACATTTTTACACTCGGCGGAATCATGCGGTGGTAAAATTTTACGGCTCGGATATTCATCAAGACTGCTGTAACGAATAAAAATAACCTGTCACTAGTTTCAGCTCGACATTAATGAAATTTATGAGAAAATTATACATATTTCTCATCCGATAAATCAAGCAGCAGATTCATTTAAAAATCAAATCGAAAATAACCTTCGTGTATGGCCAATAAATCAGTACTCCGTTACGTAAATAAGATGAATTGTGGCTCTTCTATTTGTCGAGATATACAAAACGTTTTTGTAATTACGTGCAAACTATAGGCTTAAAGCAGCCACTGGTATCGGGAATAGAAAAGAAGTTGAAGTGATTATTAGTTAGAACACTGAATAACATGCATAAGTACTTACAAATTTTTTAGAACAATTCACAAATTATCCTCTTGGCCGCAAAACGCTACCCCTGCGTATACGCACGTCACAGCGCCGCCCAACTCCACCCTGTTATATTTTTAATTTAAATTCTCGACTCGCGTATCGAATCATAAAAATATAAATATTTTAGGATCAACCGAGCGAACAGCACGGAGCGCGCCCCGCCTGCCCATTGACGCATTCGTTTCGAACTAATTTCGGTGCAGCGACTATTCCGCGATTCTGTAAACACAGGCGGCGGTGGTAAAACACGACCAGGGAACAGCGACCCCTCTGGATCTTATGAAAAATGAAGCCCTCGTCGCGGATTCCTCTTTACAACGGGAGGCGTGATGGGTCAACGTAGATCGGAATCTCCACCAGCACCACAAAAATGAAAATGCAACGATAACTACTGCTGAGATCAATGTCTTAAGGTTCAAATTTGCTTGATATGTTTGCGGTAACCTTATTGTTTGGAATAAGTTCTGTTTTGGGCACGCCGTGAGTCAGCCGGGATGAGGAAATGCGTGCAAGTTTTACTTTCAGAGATTGTTGGATAGCTTTTTACAAAATGATAATTTATAAGGTGTCAGTGGCACGAAAAGTAATCTATGACTTTCTTTGATATAAAATAAATAATAATTAATATGAGTAAAATTTTCCAGGAAATGTTGATACGGCAGTCGACGAATTTAGGCCAAACCGACGCAGGAGACACGAAAACTTACCAAATTAAAATTCAATAACAAAAGGTTTTGTTTTTAAACTGAACACGTGCAGAATGGCACACATCCTAAAACGGGACTCAACGTTGCAGCCACGTGCCAGATTATTACCGATTTAGATAATAGGTGTTTAGTTTGATTTGCTAAGCGAGAAAAGCTTTAAACAGGCGAGAACATTCTTCCGTAGGGTAAACAAACGTTTAGTAACTCTAAAAAAGCGTTGCCTCTTAATGCCATTTTGAATATCACTACATTGATGCATATTTTATCATCGCGTGACGATCCTATGAATAATACCGAATAAGATGTCCGCTCACGGTGTATCTTTTTTTTTCTCTGATACATAAGTGTTGTGATTACAGAAGCCTGCAGATATCATAACGTGAAATCGTCACAGCGCATCTATAAAGGTCTTAAATTAGAACCTGAGACTAAATCAAGGCAAAAATAGGCAAATGGTGCCTACCAGGCCTATAATACTTCCCACTTTTTTTTCCATTTATCAATCTTTTTTGAGTTTGTTTTTATTGACGCACGTAAAAATCAGCGCCGAATGAAGTGACGTCATCACATATCTTCGCACTTAGTCCACTAAAAGCAACGGTTGGGTGTCGGTTCTTACCATAGATTATACACAATGTAAAAAGTTACATCTAAAATTATCGGCTTAAGCTTGGATATAAATAATTACCATATTTCTAAATTGTATTATTATTATAAATTGGATTTTGATGTATTTTAGGGTATGAGTTGAAACTTAAGATATAAAATGAATAAAAGAATTGCAGACAAAAAAATGATGTACATATCATAACCTACACATAAGCCAAATTTTAAGAAAAATGTTATCCGAATGACGTCACGCGAGAAAATGACAAGCAAGCGAGAAATGAATTACTGTAGGTACAGTATCGTAACTATTCCGGGCATTTCAATGATAAAAAGGTGCTCCTTGATATCACGACTTCATCGTTACAACGTTGTAAATGATTTTGCGAACCCACTATTATTCCCATACGATATTTTCCTTGGTCGAAATAAAACAGCAGATTTACGAATTTAAAACTTTATTCTTCTATGTCTACGTTTCATTGTATGTCAAATAACTCGTCTGAGGGCCTCGCAGGCCTCGGTCATCTTCAGACCCTCCATGGTGTAGAGGAGGTTCTCGACCGACGCGTCTTCGTCGTCGTCGAACCAGAGCTGAAGCATGTTCTTGGCTCGCGTGACGTCCGTTGCGTTTTCCGTCTCGAAGTACTGGATCTCGTCCGGCTTGTAGCCAAGCTTCACGGCCAACGTCTTCCAGTCAGAGAGCTGGGCCGATACCGCGTCCAGCTGGGCGGGCGTGATCATCGTGACGCGGGACCTGGACGACTTCTCGTAGTCGTCGTCGCCGACGTGAGTCGAGTCGGGCACCTGGAGAACACATACGTCGGTAAGAGTAAAGCCATCTATCGCCGAATAGTCGAACGAATATCAAAGGATCTAGTAGCACCTAGAACGATCGAGGAGTACGACGCCATCTATTGTCAGATAGCAGAAACACAATACTAGAGATGTGTGGAATATTGTCGGGATAATTCTAGGGATGAGGTATCGACTATAAAAGCGTTGCAGGGATTGTAATCGGAACTACTCGAAGCGAAACAGCGAACGTATCACCTGAAGCGAAGCGGAAGAAGAGAATTGAGAAAGTGTAGTGAAGTGTTTTAAGTGTTCTAAGTGTTGAATAAAATGTTAATTTGTAATTCGGTAGAATTTTATTTATCCCGAACCCTAGCGCGTAACAGTACATTACAAGCCTTCTTCGGAACATGAGCCGTACCAATATGTCCGTACATAAGATGGACTCGTGATAATTAGGAGCTGGAGAAGGTTAGTCACGTGGCCATACAGACGGATATTATCAATTATCATTGATACTTTAAGATATTCGTGATAAGTCTTTTCGTCTCATTATGATTTTTCATAATATTAAATATGTTCATTGATACGTGACTGGAATACATTGTTATGTGCTACTGAGATGAGTGCGCACTTGAATTGTGTAAACAATTCACCGGTTTTTCATCACCTCCCTCGCCGCCATCACTGTCTTGTCGGCATATAAAATAATTTAACTAGATCGCAAAATACCTCAAGCACCAGTCATCGTTCTCGTCGAACCCGTCGCTTGTGACGAAGGGCTCGGCGAGTAAATTAACCCACAGACACAGCCCACTGAGTTTCTCGCCGGATCTTCTCAGTGGATCGCGTTTCCAACCCGGTGGTAGATTCTGCGAAGCACTGCTCTTGCTAGGGTCAGTGTTAGCAACGCTCTCGGTTTGAGCCCCGTGAGCTCACCTATACGTCAAGGAGAAGCTGAAATAGCCTCTCAAAGCTATCAGCTTAGGTAAGAAAAAAAAGCTGATAAATTAGCGGTTCGTCCAAATATCTGACGGTGTATACGTACCTGTTCAATATCATTCGCGTCGCCTTCTTTTATGAGATCAGCCTCCATTTGTTCTTCACTAATTTCTTCCTCGGTCACATCCTGTAGGAGACAAGCAAATGTGAGCCCTTTGCGATACAGCTTAGAACTGTTTTTGCGTTAGCACCTTTTAAACATCCTTTCTGTGGTTGCACGGGCTCACGGACCACCTGGTGTTTACAAAGCGAATAAAAAACGCAAATAAAGAAAATCTCTATGTAAAATATAATTCTTCGGGATTTCAAAACAATTCCCTTCTCTACATATACATATTATATCGTCTACACAACGTATATACGTCGCGACACTACGAAGAGAACTGTCGATAGATTCCATATACAGGGTGTAGTAGAAACTTTTCCGACAACGAAAGCAATAAGTCGAGCTCCTAATTGGTAACAATATGACACTAAAAAGACACACACGGAAATATATATTTTAGTCCCACTACCGCTACACTAAGGGACGATTGATTACGATTAATTACGTGACGTAAGACATACGTGTTTTTTTTAATACGCTTTTATTAGCTTCAGACGTATGTATGTTAGTATGTAGCGGAATCTTTGAACATTATTTTGACCCCCTTCAAAACGTCGGATTAACTCGAAATTTGGTATACTTATTAAGGACCGATGACAATTCAATATTAAAAAAAAATGAAATTCAATTAAAAAATGAAAACTAAATAATACTTTAAAAAAACTAACAAAATACGCTTTTATAGAAAATCCAACTAAAAAATAGAAAATAGTTTTTTTAAATTATTATTTATTTTAAAAACGTAAACCCTTTGGTTGGCAGTAAATATTTTTTTACTACTCAATACTATGAAGGATGAAAAGAAGGAGGAAAGGAGGAAAGAAAGGAAGGAGGAAGAGAGGCTGTCCCACAACAACTTCACATCGCTCGCTGGAGCAGGAACTAAGCGTCTTGGGCATGACGTGGGAGAATCTTGAACAGACTGCCCAAGCCCGATGTAAATGGAAGAATGTCATTCGAGCCCTACACCCCAGCAAAGGGTAATAGGAAAGAAAGGAGGAGAAACTCAATACTATTGGGCAGTAAGTATTCCCAGTTCGTTCACCGAAGTCCCTTCATACGCACGCACGCACGCACGCAGGGACGGACGCACGGACGGACGGACAGTCGAAGAGTATTTGTTTTGTACCGGCTTGTTGGCCTTGTCGTCGGATTTCGGCGACTGCTCGGTGGTGGCGGCCGCAGCGTTGGCGGCCATCTCGTTCGTGATGCGATGGACCTACGAAGAAAAAACACAACACTAATTAAATTTTTAGCTCTAACCAGTTTTTGTTTAGAGGATTTTATTTTTATTGCATAGACGGATGGACGAGCTCACAGCCCACCTGTGTTATGTGGTGGTTACCGGAGCCTGTCATGTAACATCTACTAACGTAAATGCCGCCACCCACCTTGAGATATGAGTTCTAAGGTCTCAGTATAGTTACACCGTCTGTCCCAATCTTCAAGCCGAAACGCATTACTGCTTCCCGGCAGAAATACGCAGGGTGGTGGTACCTACCCATGCGGACTCACAAGAGGTCCTACCACCAGTAATAGTGATAGTGGATTATTCGGATATACCATACGCGAGCCCTGCCAATTCGAGCTACGAATACTACCCGCGTCTTTATAGGAGGCAGTAGCCACAAACATACACATCCTAATTTAACTTTTTAATTTTTAGTAGTACTGATTTCGTAGCACGTATTTCAAGGCCGTGCAGAGTTGAGTAGTAAATTTTCGTATATATGTTGACAGCATTACAAGCTCTGCCTACCGCCCCGTCAGAGTTGTATGGTTTGACAAAGAAGTATGATTAAAAAGGCAAAGACAACTGCAAGGATTCGTATAGGAGTAGTTACCATAGCATCGAGGTAGTCCGGGAGACGTCCTATAGGGTTGTTGGTTTGCACGAAGAAGTGCGGCGATCGTCGCGCCAGGAGCCGCAGCGCGCGCCACCCCCAACCCCCCTCCGCCGTGCGCCGCCGCCCCGACTCGTCGCACGCGCTCGATATGTACGACTCTGTAACAACGACGACATATTGAAGTGAAACTTCTAATGTGACTTCCCACAAGGTTGCGTTAAACGTTTAACGCTACCATATTAGAAAGAGACAGAGCGAGAGTGAATGTGTGACACTCGAACGCATGCGCGTAGTATACCTGTTACAGGCCAGCGCGAGCGTTAGCAACGAGTAGCGTCCAATATTTTAATGAAGTATTTAAATATTAATAATAATATTATATGTTTAAAATGTTACATTATATTTTTATTGCCTTTGTAAGCTGACGAGCAAAAGGCTGATGGTGAGTGGTTACCGTTGCTAATGGACGTCAACAATGCCAGGGGCACAGCCAAATAGCTGCATATCGAACACGGAGTTATTAAAAAAATAAGTATCGATCAAGCAAAAATACATGTTTACAAATTACAATGTTTCAACACAGAGCGGTTTCGATAGTCGTCAAAATCATTTCTTGAACATCTCCATTTTATAACCAGTCGTGTCTGTTGCATATACACATTGCAAATAATAATCTACATTACAAGATTTACAATTTTTTATTCAACAAATAGTATTCAGATTAGGATAACGCTTATAAACTTACCCAACGAAGGCATGAAATCGCGTTCCTTCGTGCGGCAGGCGGCTAAATTATCCGGACACAGATTCCAGAGTTTCGTCAACTCATTGCTGAAAGTATATTGCTCATGGAATAATTTTATTAAAAAAGAAACTTAATATCGATTCTTTAAATAGCACTAATCTATGGATACAATGCAAACGCCACCGGTCGTACGTTGGTGGTACTATACCAGAAAACTGATTTTTTGTGCCCCAGCAGTTTTATTGAAGAAATTCTCGACTTAGTCGTATAAACGACGGATACGTCAGTCAAGCAAACAAAGTCGTATATAGTAACTATCTTCTTTATTAAGACATATTCTAAAAGTTATTTTTTAATTTCGAATGCTTTATTCACATTCAGAAAATAGTGCGGATCCTGTGAGTTAATCGTATTGTCGACTTACAATACGAATTATTGACAAGACCATCATCGTTAAAAAGCCGAATTATATAAATATAATCTATTATTTTCTTTGGCATTTGCGATTCGTAATTAAAACCACTTTTACATTTTTTTATGTCATACTATTATCTGCGTGCTTAGTGCGAGTTTTTTAACGTTCTCGATAGCGTAAAAGTTAACTCAAAATTGTATGCAGTTGGAACAGCGCCCCTAGCGGCAAACGTTCCAACTCCATACAAATTTGACTTAACTTTTACGCTATCGAAAACGTTAAATAACTCGCACTAAGCACACTGACGTGGTGGGCAAACTGCTGGAACGCATTCTGGCAGCCCGCATCATCCAGCTTCGGCAGTCGGCGGAGCAGTATGGCTTCCGAGAGGGCCGCTCAACGGTGGACGCGATCCTTCGCGTGCGGGCCCTCTCGGAGGAGGCCGTCTGCGGGGGTGGGGTGGCCTTGGCGGTGTCGCTCGACATCGCCAATGCGTTTAACACCCTGCCCTGGTCCGTGATAGGGGGGGCGCTGGAAAGACACGGCGTGCCCCTCTACCTTCGCCGGCTGGTCGGCTCCTACTTGGAGGACAGATCGGTCACGTGTACCGGACACGGTGGGGTCGTGCATCGGTTCCCGGTCGTGCGCGGTGTTCCACAGGGGTCGGTACTCGGCCCTCTTTTGTGGAATATCGGGTATGACTGGGTGCTGAGGGGTGCCCTCCTCCCGGGCCTAAGGGTAATCTGTTACGCAGACGACACGCTGGTCGTGGCCCGGGGAGGGAGCTTTGCTGAGTCTGCTCGTCTTGTCACCGCTGGGGTAGCGCATGTCGTCGGCAAAATCAGGAGATTGGGCCTCGACGTGGCGCTCAGTAAATCCGAGGCCATGTGGTTCCACAGGCCCCGGAGAGTGCCACCTGTCGATGCCCATATCGTGGTTGGAGGCGTCCGGATCGGGGTCGGGGTGCAGTTGAAGTACCTCGGCCTCATTCTGGACAGTCGTTGGACCTTCCGTGCTCATTTTCAGCACCTGGTCCCTCGTTTGTTGGGGGTGGCCAGCGCATTAAGCCGGCTTCTTCCCAACATCGGGGGGCCTGACCAGGTGACGCGCCGTCTCTATACGGGGGTGGTGCGGTCAATGGCCTTATACGGGGCACCCATGTGGGGCCAGTCCCTGGCCGTGGGGGTAGCGAAGTTGCTGCAACGGCCGCAACGCACCATCGCGGTCAGGGTCATCCGTGGTTATCGCACCATCTCTTTTGAGGCGGCGTGTGTACTGGCTGGGACGCCGCCTTGGGTCCTGGAGGCGGAGGCGCTCGCCGCTGACTATCAGTGGCGGGCTAACCTTCGTGCCCGGGGCGTGGCGCGTCCCAGCCCCAGTGTGGTCAGAGCGCGGAGGGCCCAATCTCGGCGGTCCGTGCTGGAGTCATGGTCCAGGCGGCTGGCCGATCCTTCGGCTGGTCGTAGGACCGTCGAGGCGATTCGCCCGATTCTTGTGGATTGGGTGAATCGTGACAGAGGACGCCTCACTTTCCGGCTCACGCAGGTGCTCACTGGGCATGGTTGCTTCGGTGAGTTCCTGCACCGGATCGGAGCCGAGCCGACGGCAGAGTGTTACCATTGTGGTTGCGACTTGGACACGGCGGAGCACACGCTCGTTGCCTGCCCCGCATGGGAGGGGTGGCGCCGTGTCCTCGTCGCAAAAATAGGAAACGACTTGTCGTTGCCGAGTGTTGTGGCATCGATGCTCGGCGACGACGAGTCGTGGAAGGCGATGCTCGACTTCTGCGAGTGCACCATCTCGCAGAAGGAGGCGGCGGGGCGCGTGAGAGACGCACAGGCCCGCCGCCGTCGAGCGGGGGCCAGGGAGGCGGATATCGCCCAAGCCCTGGCCCTCTAAGTGTTTCGGGTCCCCTCACATGTCGGCCTGGGGACCGGCGAAGGGGGCCTAAGAAGACGACGTGCAAGCTGCTCTGCACGCGTTTTATGCATGAGCATCCGGGTGATGGAAGGCCGGCTATCCTCAACCCACGCTGGTTCTGACCCAGCGGGGTATTCCGTAGGATAGACCATTCTAACCGGCGCCATCTAGGCGGGCTTCGGATAGCCTGCCGACCGAGAGGGCTGGTGGTCGTGGCGCCGACGACCGCCAGTCCGGCGTCCCGAGGGGGAGGGTGATGGGAGAGATGTGCTCCGCACTAAACGCTTCACTTTCCTCCCTTTGCCTCTTCATGAGTTCTGTCTCATGCGAGGTTTGGACGTTGGTTGTTGAGCGACAGGAGGTTTTAGTCGGTTCGACTCCGACATGCCCCACCCCCCATCCCCAGTGGAGGGTGGAAGTCCGGCGATTTCCTCCTGACCAAAAAAAAAAAAAAAGCACACTCACTTTAATATTGTGCGTAAAAGTAGTCTTGACTACCGTGTAGGTCACCAGTGCCCTACGCGGCGCTCTGAAGTAATTATGTCGATTTCTGTTACTAAGGCGCCGGAATATCTAGTAGACTTTGGGAAAGATGAATCCGAAGATACTGAGAATCAATTTATTTCTAAGATCTAAAAATCTAAAAGGCTAAAACATACATTAACAAACAAAAGAAGGCATAGTTAGGCAATCCAGGCGCTTAGTAACGCAAAACAACATAACTACTTCAGCGCGCCACGTAGGGCACCGGTGACCTACACGGTAGTCAACGTGTTAAAGAAAATAAATCTATACTAATATTATAAAACTGAAGAGTTTGTTTGTTTGAACGCGCTAATCTCAGAAACCACCGGTCCGATTTGAAAAATTCTTTCAGTGTTAGATAACCCATATTGAGGAAGTTTATAGGCTATATAACATCACGGTAAGACCAATACAAATGGAGCACCAATAAATAATGTTTCAAAATAGCGGTTTAAATAGCTCCTTAACATTCTATAATTCAAAAATATTTTCACTTTCTTCGTAAATGAAGTGGGGGTAAAATTTAGTGTTATGCCAAAGTAACTATTTCACGCGGAGTCGCGGGAAAAAGCTAGTATATGTATATATTTTTTCCGTTTACGATTTGATAATTCGGTTCTTCTATAATTAGTTTACGTCCGGATATCACGTCCACAAGCTCGTGGAGAATTCTTGTAAATTTCAAATATGGGTCAATCGAAAACAACATCTCTCGAAGCGGACGCGATATTAACGACGTGTTGATAGAACTTGCTGCACTTGGGACTGTAGCCGTATTGAGGAAACAACGCTTTTGTTGCAAATATTTCCGCGCAATCACGTAGGTACGCTTTTAAACGAATCACGATCGAATGCTACTAAGAACACCACAAGATTCCTTCTTTCTGATAGATTAACATTTTTAATACGCTTTTATTAGCTTCAGACGTATGTAGGTATGTATGTTTGTAAAGGAATCTTTGAACATGATTTTGTCCCCCTTCAAAACGCCGGATTAACTCGAAATTTAGTATACTTGTAAATGAAGCTCTCTTGGCCCTTCATTAATTACATTTAAATTTCCCGCGCATTAGCTTCCACCACTATCATAATAATATTATCTGTGGTGGAAGCTATGTTCATTCCATATTTGGATTTGCTCTCTGGCTTCGGACATTCAAAAATATAACGTGCTTTCTTAATAGATTAAAAAAACTTGCAGGTTTAAAAAAGGGTGAAGCAATATCTTTCAATGTTGTTTCTCTTTGCAGGTTCGAAAATAATTATAATAATTGTAAGTGTAGAAATAAGTTAATAAAATAATAATAATAAAAAACTCTTTGCAGAGTAACAACTTGGTTCTTTGTTTCATTACAAAACACATTACATACTTATTAAAGACCGATGACAAGTCAATATTTTAAAAAAAATGACAAAAAAAATGAAAAAATTGAAATTCAACTAAAAAATTAAAAATAAATAATAGTTTAAAAAACTCATAAAACACGTTTTTATAGAAAATCCAACTAAAAAATAGAAAATAAATTTTAATAAATTTGAATTAAAAATAGTGTGCATGGTATCAGTAGCTATAAATATTTTGTGAACAGATATGAGTAGAAGGGTTATTCTGATAATATCCTGAAAAGTACCCCACGCTTTTTTTACAATGAAATAATTTTTTCTTACACTATGTTTAATTCAAATTTATTAAAATTTATTTTCAATTTTTTTGTTGGATTTTCTATAAAAGCGTTTGTTAGATACTTTAAACAATTTTTTTTATTCTAGTGAATTTTGCGGGCACGGCTCGTCGAGATGCGATCTCAGAAGACATCAATATGGAAAAGTTTTAATTAAAACTATTAAAGTTTTACGATCGTCCAAGAACACGAAAACTGTAAAGCATGCGAAACGTCTGAAATATTATCGAGAGGTGAAAGTCTAATCGGTTTAAGCGAAATTTTTGCAACTTTACAGGGAACCATTTGAAGATTAAAATTTGGAAAAAATATATCATAACAAAAAACTTCTTCAGCAATTTGAATGGGGTAAATTTAAAGTTCAATTTAAAAACATCGAATCGTTGATAGCAGTAATACCAAATAAAATTGATCTTTAATTACTAAAGATAAATGTCGCGTATTAAGCGAAATGTCGCTTAAACTAAATAGATTTCACCCCTCGATATAATGACAGTAAAAAAACTCGTTAAACCGGAAAATTAGGTTTAGTTATATCTACGAATCGCGATTACCGAAGAAATTACTATATATTCATACTATATAGTACTGTTTGTGATTTAATATATTTTTTGTCTTTGAATAAATCGACGTGTAAACAGCGATTACTTTAGCGGTTTAGCCTATAAACATTTTAACTTGAATGTCGCCTTAGACCTCGAGACACCAGATCGAAGTCTCAAATTTACAATACAACGGTTGTTCCACTTTACGAATCGAAGCATCACAAAGGTTTGGGGCAGAAATGGACAGCAAACCTAACCTTATGGGCTGACAAGCTCCCTCTCTCTGCCACCGCGAATTACGAACGAATTCATAAAATCCACGCCGTTATTGTTACATCATTGAAATACGCCCAAAACACGTCATTACGGATCTTCCCGATCCATTAACGGTGCTTTTAGGTACCACAAGCACTGGTCACCGTCCTCGCCGAACCCGTCGCTTGCGACGAAGGGCTCGACGAGCGAATTAACCCATAGACACAGCCCAGAGTTTCCCGCCGGATCTTCTCAGTGGAACGCGTTTCCGATCCGGTAGTAGAAAGCATTGCTCTTGCTAGGGCCAGTGTTAGCATCACTCCGGTTTGAGCCCCGTAAGCTCACTTACACGTTATAGAAGCTGAAATCTCTCAAGGCTATCAGTATAGGTAGGGAAAAAAATATATTGAAATAGTTCGTGATGTTAAGTATTTACTCAAAGAAAATACTGGCACCGACATTTAAAATTAAAAAATTTGAAATGTAAAATCTCATCACTGTATACAAGTGCGCGAGGCATCTTACCAATCGGGCCATGTACGTTTATAGGTTTCGTATTTGAAAAAAATTCTAGTTCATGAAATCAATAAAATGACTATAATAAATAAATTATATTTTAATACTCACTTTCCCATATAGGATTTCTTCTGTCCTTCGTATTCCTTAACAATGTCGCCGACCGGACGACGCCGTTTGCGTGATTTCTTAACATCTTCAGGGGTGTCCAATTGTGTCGGTGGCTTGGGTTTTTGAAATTCTACAAGTATTTATTTTTATTAATCTATTTCATTCTTCACAGAACCTTCTTTCTGTTAGATAATAAAATAAAATCCTATCTTGTTTGTTTAAATGTATATTCTTAAAAATAAATTAAAAAGAAATAAGAAATTAAAGCTTATTAGTAAACCTTTTACAGCGCATTACATCAAGCACAGAGCATTCATTGATCATGTTCTGGCAATAACCCTTTCAGAACCGAGACAAGACACAAGAATAAACATTTCCTAAAAAAATGGAATCACCTTTTCGTATAATCTAAAAAAACAGTCCACAACCACGTGAATGGTAGAAATACATAGAGGACAAACACATAAATAGTGATTTTTAATTATATAGATCATTGGCTGTTACAGGCTTAACAGGCTTTGCTTGTGTGGTGGAGGTAAAGGTGTCATCGTAGTTTCCCATGAGAATGAGATCTACTTCCGGGATAAAAATGGTAGCCTATAGTAGCCTAGCACTCTTGACCAAACACTATCACTTTTGAAAAAATCATGTCAATCCGTTACTTTAGTTTTATGTGAAGGACGGACAAATGAACACAGTATAAATGTGAATTATAATATTATTATATTATTTCCGGTTCGAAGGACCAATGTGTAGAGCGTGGACTGTATTTTGTGCTGGTCGCTTCAATAATTAATATGTATTCAGAGAGAAGGTTATTTTTATTTTATTTTAATTAGTTACAATACGTGCACGTACGACCTGAATTGTTGATTGATTTACAATGACTGTGTTGTCAAAATTATTATTCTATTTCAGAATTCAAAAAATAGTAATAAAAACTTCATGTTTAGAATTGCTCTAAACATAGATACACATAATTTTTTCGAATTAGTATCGAGATTAGATTACTGACGACACAAGCACCACAAGTGTCTAATGTTTCTCACCTGGACACCCATCATTTTTCCAGTTATTCCAATGTTCTTCTCGCTTTAGTATGCTTTTAACGCATTCCGCAAATTTCTTCCCATTCGGTGGAGTCTCACCGAGCAAACGATAAATCTGAGAGGTTGTATCTTTAATCCAATCAGACTGGTCAGATTTTAGTTCTTGCGCTTCTCTAGAAAATCAATAGTTGTTCATTTACATTCTCACACATATGACTTGAGAAGATGTCTATAATTTTTTAAAATTGAGGTAAGTCTTTAGTGTGTCTCTAATCAAACTGATGTCTATGCACGAGGGCGACTTTTTACTACCAGGTGGACCAAGTCCTGGATAAGTCTCAAATTCCAAAAGAAAGTTACAGACTATTTCATTCAATAAGTTGCATCTGCATTTACTCTGAATTGTATTGTAGCGAAAACATATTTATACTATTACTATCAGTCCCAATTTCGTGATCAATGGAACTAAAACGAATGGAACAAATAAGTAGCGTGATAGTTACACATTGGTAGTCAAAGAGAGAGCGGGAAACATTACATTACATAAGCATGTCTATATATATCATAGGCTCTAGAGTAGTCTAGAGTAAAACAGATAAGTTGCTTACAAAATGGCAAAGCTTTAGTTTATATTTTTAATTGCTTAGATGGGTGGACGAGCTCACAGCCCACCTGGTGTTAAGTGGTTACTGGAGCCCATAGACATCTACAACGTAAATGCGCCACCCACCTCGAGATATGTTCTAAGGTCTCAGTATAGTTACAACGGCTACCTCACCCTTCGAACCAAAACGCATTACTGCTTCACGGCGGAAATAGGCGGGGTGGTGGTACCTACCCGTGCGGACTCCCAAGAGGTCCTACCACCAGTGAAAAGTAGAAGTAGTTTTTGGAAACTAGTTACAATTGGAACCAACATTAATGTTCAATAACAATCTTTGTAGTTAAAAGTTTAAATGAATTTCGTATCCTTAGTTTTTGGTATACAGGAAACCTGAATATATTGGATTTTTCATTCAACTAACAGAGATTCATTTTGAAAAAAATAATTCATATTACTTCTTTAATAATTACAAAGACTCCAAATAATAATTTGAGATAGTACGTACGTTTTGAACTTAACAGNCATTAATGTTCAATAACAATCTTTGTAGTTAAAAGTTTAAATGAATTTCGTATCCTTAGTTTTTGGTATACAGGAAACCTGAATATATTGGATTTTTCATTCAACTAACAGAGATTCATTTTGAAAAAAATAATTCATATTACTTCTTTAATAATTACAAAGACTCCAAATAATAATTTGAGATAGTACGTACGTTTTGAACTTAACAGTTGACATCAGATACTGAAACAGTATTAGAAACTGTATGAGGACGCATCTTCTGAAGTTCGAATCTGATAATTGCAACTCTAACAATTTCTGATTGGTTAGGAATTTTGCAAAGTAATGCTGCTCTTTGCCTTGACCCTGCATTTCCACGTCAGTCAATGGCTTCAATCGATTCATTTTAGATTTCTGCAGCTCAACTGTCTCTAGCTTGTAAGATGAGAATGCGGACAATACACTACCAGAGTGCTGAAAACATCAAGAAATCATATTTTAATTTGATTGATGATAGCAAAATGACCCAAGTCTGTCTGTATATCGACGCTTGAAAGGCAAACATGACTAAGCGACAATAACTGCTTTGTACATAAATGATAGGCAATGACCATATTCGATATGCAATATAAATATGTTTCTAGGTCTATTAAAATCATTTCAACAGCATTTTACAGCTACTAGCTAGATTCTACTACAGTTAGATTCGTTAAAATAAATTTTGTTTTCAGGTATTTCAACTTTAAATTAGTCTTATGTAAAGTTCACGCATTGTCGCTATGTTCAAGCTTGAGTGACTTAAAAGAGAAAATCACATGGTGAGCAATAATTACAGAAGTGAATCAGCTGCTGGCTGGCTACTACTCTTAGAGTAACATGAAAATTTGGGCATTGAGAATAATAGATCAAAACAGAAGTAGTGAGAAGTTCTAAATTTTTTTGTTAAGTCTGTTTTCTGTAGCTTGGTTGTGTCAGATTTTTTACAGTTATGGGATTTTAGTCTTATCTGTTTCCAGCATGTAATATAGGAGTAAAATCCTAGCTTTAAAATAATGAATGGTTTGTTTTATAATTTAGAACATTAAAAGTAGAGGATTACAGTAAAATCCATAAATAAAAATGCAGATAAGAATTCAATAAATAAAAATAAACTTACTGCAACAAAGGTCTTCCACTGGAGTTTATTGTAACAAGTATTAGGATTTCTGAAGAACTCTTGCAAACTCCAGAATCTACAGTATAAATTGTAATCTATAGTCAGTTTATGTTTTTCATTATCAATAACCATTTCTTCTTCCAAAGCATCCTTTAGTGTACTTGAATTATCAACACCAAATTCAGTTATATTTTCTAAATTGAATTCAGAGACTATATTAAGACCGGAGCGTTCGGAGAATGGAAAGAATTTTGCCAAAAAAAGTAAAATACGTCCACAGAAAACTGTATTTTGAGATCGAGAAAGTCTTCTTAATAAATCATTACACATTCTCAATAAATTATTTTTGCATGCCACGAAAAATAGTTCTTCCTTCCATATACTGACACCTTTTTCAATGTATGAGAACAATTGTTCACATTTATTTAGTGTGAGGGCGTCAAAGATATCGCCGAGTAATACAACAGGCATTGTTGGCGTAACCATAAGTCGCCTGCATGATTCTATGCAGAACGATACAAAATTTTCAAGAGTGTTATGATCCTCAGTAAGTAATTCAAGTAGCTTATCCCTAAATGCTTGGTCCATAGCTGCTTTTCTGTCAGTTTCGTCAGTGTTTTTGGAAAAAGAATCGATGAGGTCAATGTTGTTCGTTGCAAAGGCTTTAGAAAGTACATCCTGAAATCAATGAGTGATTTTAAAAATTTTTGTCGATTTCAATTTCAAATATTTTTGTAGGTTAATAACCGTATCTTACTTTGTATTTCGTGCGGAGTTCTTCGAATCCTGGTTTGCTCGACATATTGGTCGTATTCGATGTTGTTATTACACTTTTAATTAATTGGCAATCACTAAAATATATTTATGAGATTTTATTGCGATATTTGTTTACACTTTAGATCTAACTTTTTTTATTGTGGAAAAGCAAAGGGAGTGAGCCATATTAAATCTAACGACATTCCTTCATTGAGAATTTTGGTCTCTGTGGCTGGGCTTAATGAGTGAAGTTGTGTTTTTTCTTAATTATTTAATTTTTCTTTAAATGAAAACATGTAGTAGTGTTGGTTTAATAACCTGTGAAAGTGCACAAATATGTGATAATGAAATAAAGCCGAAAGTGGCTTCTCGGGTTCTACCAATGTTTTTTTTGTTTTCCTACCTAAACTAGCCTTGAGAGGCTATTTAATTTTCAGCGTAACCTTAAATAGTAGGAGAGCTCACAGGGCTTAAACCTGACGACGTTACGAATACGAACCTTAGCAAGAGCCGTGCTTCGCAGAATCTACCACCGGATCGGAAACGCGGCGAGAAACTCAGTGGGCTGTGTCTGTGGGTGGCGCTCTCATGTTAAACAGCTTGTATAATAGACCGTTGTGCCAGACTTTGTCGAACGCCTTCGCTATATCGAAGAAGAGGGCTCCTTTCGGTATGGGTTTCCGCCTATTCAGCCCTATTGAGATGTGCTCCGTGAGGCGGTGCCCTTGTTGGTCGCACGAGTGTTTGGCGCGAAACCCAAACTGGTCGTCGATCAGTATTTTATTGGACGCGACGAAGTTCCAGAGGCGTTTCCGAACGAGACACCCGATAAATTATTTAGAAATGAAACAGGCAACTTATATTTATAATATTATATAACTGTATTTAATGAACCTCTATAGACCTCTATTTACTTTCAGCATTTTACGAAGTGCTAAAGTACTCTGTAGGCCAGTTTCAAATTTTTAACTGGCGGACATATTTCAGCACATCTTAACCATTGGTTGATCTTATGCTGATCAAGCGTTGGCCAATCACAACCTGAGTTCAATGTACTGAATTGCAGCTGATGGCGATTAGTTTTGACAGCTGTGTACATTGAAATTAATTGTGTACTGTTATAGACACAAAGGTAATCTATAAGTTGCGTATCGCGATTCGTGATGTGTGGCGTCCTGTGTATTTATCATTAAATTTTTATTACATATCTTTTACACTTTATTTAATAAGTGATGAACCAATAGTTAAGTTATATCTAGTTAAGTCGTATCTTTAGTATAAATTGTATATAGTTTTCTTTGACGACCTCAAACTAAACGAAACATGGATCGCAACAATATGAGGTGAGAATATTTTGCTTTATCTTATTTAAGCGTTCCATCTACGATACGTATACATAGAAAACATTGAATTTAAGCTCCGTAACAAAGAGCATTATAAAGTAACGTGAGTTCAAGTCAATAATTTACTAGTAAGAACTATGTAACGCCATTGTTCAAATTACAACCACAACAGTCTTATTGTTTATACCAATTAATACGATCGTGAAATAGGTACTAGTGATATTATACCATAACAAACATATTTGGTACCATCAAAGTAAATAGCACTGCATAATTATTTACAACATTTTAGTTGAGTAATTTTTATTATAATGGCGCCACGCGTAATAATAGTGAACATAAGTATTAAGTTATGCTCGTACTTTATCATGTGTTTACTTAAATTTACATAATAATATACGTTACAGAATAATAAAACTCCATTTGATTTAATTACAAATCAGTTGTTGCAAAGTATAAACAATATGTCCTTTAGTTTACACAAACAATAACCTCGGTTGTTATTGATAACAACAAGGAAGTAGATAAAATGTATCGATAGCCTGAGTGAAATTCATAAATTTTGCAGTAGGTTTGTAAATAATGAGTGACAAACTACTTTGAATATATTTTCAAAGGGTATAAATTTCTATTAATAAGGGATCCGCTTGTAATAATAATAATTTATTTACTACATTAACTCTTAAATCATGACCTAGAATACTATTTACATATTTAACAAATTGAGAGATTACACAGATGGCATCAACAATATAATATTAACCAATGATCCTCACGCTAGGTATTGCCTGCATAGTGAGGACCAAAAACTTGTGTATCAATGTACTCGTTTTCCTTTGAGTTAATGTTTATTACTGTAGTATAATTATCAAATTTCATATCAAAGTAAAAATGTTTTTAATTGTTTCTAAGGACAGCAGGTATACCTGTACATTACTGATCCAATATGATTGAAAATAATTTACAAAATCAAAATTTGTTTCAAATCTAAATTACACTAAAGACACAAGAAGTGTTTATATATAAACAATTTCCAAACATTCCAATGAAATGAAAACCAGATAATTTTCCACTAAATATATTTTGTGAACCCTTTTTGTTTTCTGGGGTCCATTGTCTTGTGTGCGTAAAAAAAAGAAAAAAACTTCCATTTACTTTGCAATACATCTTCCATTAGCTTATAGTCTTAATTCAATTAAATTTATTGTAATAGGTCTGGCTGGTCTTTTACTAATGGCTTCTTACTAATAGTGTTTAATCTTTACAATGTGCTAGAGATGGATGTCTATAATAACATGTATTGACATTATTTTTACAAGCAGCTGCCCATCACAAGTCAAAACACTTGCAACCAGTTGCCTACTAGGCATCAACCTTTTTTGAGTATAGTTCATAGATAGGTAATAGGCAAACATAGATTAAAAAGTTCGTAAACTCTACAATGCTGTTGAAAGTCTGTAAGCTACTTTATGCTGTTTTTATAAGGTTCCAGTAACTGCCAAATTCTAGGTAAGCTGTAAGTTCTCAGCTCATCCATATCACTACTAAATGTGTACGTTCAAAATAATTAATAATTTTTCTTTTTTTTTTTTCATGCAGCACTGGAATTATTTTTCACAGATCAAGTTATGTAAACAGCGGAACCCGTTCGTTGCCACACATGGGCAAACGTCACAACAGCAGTCACAGCCATAGTCATAGCCATAGCGGTCCTGCACACAGCCACAGTAATCATAACAGCAACTACAATGGCAATGGACACAGGCTTAGCCCTCCAAGTCAGCTGCACATCAGTCATTTCCACAATAATAATAATAATAATAATCAGAATACTCAGCATGATGATCTCATCAATTACATTTATGATTCATGGAATAAGGTGATCTTAGTTATATGTTTATTTCCATAGCCTATTAAGGTAGACGAAAATTAAACAAAATTGTAGTTACAGTCATTTCCATACAAAGTAGTTGCTTCATCTCAAACATCCTTTGTNCACATCAGTCATTTCCACAATAATAATAATAATAATAATCAGAATACTCAGCATGATGATCTCATCAATTACATTTATGATTCATGGAATAAGGTGATCTTAGTTATATGTTTATTTCCATAGCCTATTAAGGTAGACGAAAATTAAACAAAATTGTAGTTACAGTCATTTCCATACAAAGTAGTTGCTTCATCTCAAACATCCTTTGTTATTTAAAAGGGTAGAGACTATACAATATTTAATGCTTAACAACAAAATGAATTAAAAATATGAAATTGATAACATATGAATAAAATATATTTAATTAGCTACATCTTAAAGTCAAGTTCACTAAATTGTTCAAATAATATGCTCGAAATTATGCATAGCCTGCAAGACAGTCAATATAAAATGGCCCACGGAGCTTAACATTATAGTCATCTTAACAGCTACTGTTGTATATAAATTGTAAAGAAATAAATAAGAAGAATTAAGAGGGAGAATGGTGGTTGAAATCATTAAATTCTTCGTTGTGCCCTTTTCAACTCAGCAGTGTATTCTGAGCGACGTACGTCACCGCTACCACAATGGAGCGTGGTTGGAGTGAAGCTCGGAACTCACGTCCTTCACTCGGAAAATCCAATTCAATATAACTACATATTTCAACCTTTAACATATCTTTAAAGAATCATTTGAGTACTCAAAGAATCACATCAGTAATATAAAAAAGTTATTATACAATAATTATAAGCCGAAATGTATCTCGAAGAAATTGTTTTGTTTTATCGTTAATTGTCATTTGTTTTATGTCATTTAATTTCGCATTTCAGGTGACCCGTGATCTAGAACGTGGCGATGATGAGGCGAAGTACTACCATGACGTGATGACACCTCGTCACCTTGCCAACTTCAGGCCATTCAATCTTGATGAGTGGTGGGCGCGTCAGACCCACAATCGCAACAAGCATCGGTCTTAGTTCAATATACCACTGAGGCGTTTTCATACTCAGTACTTTTGAGATTTTATTGATGTGGCAACACAAAATCAATTGTGGCGTGTCTATGTTAGCATGTTTTTTACATTGATTTTAGGTATTCTGATTTATCGTTTTTGCTGAATTTAACAATTTTACACAACCTATATTTTTCGTTTAATTGCTACAAATTTTGTGGTAGCTAAAAACTACAAAGTTTAATTAAATTTTTATTTAAAGATATTTTATTTTGTGCTTGTTCAGTCTTAAAAATTATCAATGACGAGACAATAAAGGTCTACAGTCGAAAATAACATTTGATGATCAACCATGATGTTGAGAAGATAAATTGTTAATGACATGCCATGGTGTTGCCATATCTAAAAGTGTCTTCTTAGTACTGAGTCTGGGTCTCAGTTCAGCTCAAGTTCTCATGTGATGAGTGATATTGTTGAAGATTTTGACAGTATTTAGTGTAAGAATAAAAACATTAATTCGTATCTCATATACATTTTCCAATGAGACATGACTATATTATAGTTGTCTTATCGATAGTATGAACGTGTTTTAAGTGTTTCCCTTCATCATAATGAACACGTTTCATTTAAAAGTAGTTTTTGAGCCACACAAGTGCAGAAATTAATAACTGTTAAGTAGATGTAATACGACCTAATAACTATTAAATATATATATATTGTTATCGGGTCATATAAAATTACTATATTTAGTAATAAAGATAATTAGATTACTTAATAATGTTTGTATATTTGAAACAGTAGAAATTTTAATGTACTTAATAACTAATATAACAAAAGCAACAATGTTTAGTTGACGTGAGTTAGTTGATGATGGGAAACTATGGTTTTAAAATAAATACATTTTCAAAGATTTAGGAAGTACATTAGGTGATGTAAATAATTTAGCGTGAGTTTGAATTTTTATTTATAATTAATATAAATATGATTAGTGTCATCGACGGTAGTTTCAGCTAGATTGCTTTTTAATTTTGACTTGTTGGGAGTTTCTGGTCACTTAATGTGTGATCGAACTCGTCTTGTAGAGTAGAACATAACGTTGCGAATTTTTTAATGGAATGTTATCGAAAAAAGTTAACTGTAAACAATCTTAAGCTGTACTAAATTACATTCCAATGTTTTCTTTATCTGTACTTTGAGCATTTGAAACTTGTAAATACGTTTTAAATGACAACGCCGCCAGATTATGGATTTGAAATAAAAACCTTTTTACGATAATATATTTATTTATTTATTTCCGTGAGTACAGTGTACTTATTAAATTCATGTATAATTTCTAAAATTTTGTTTCGTTTCAGTTTTTTTACTTACTTCGTAATGATAACACGTTCGCTGTTCGTACATGAGATTATAAGTGATATCAAAAGCATTGTCAGTATCAGTAGAGTAATATATAGAGATATTTTAACAAATGAAGGGAAAGAAAAGACTACAGATATATGCGTAATTACATCAATTTCCAAATTAATAAAACAAAATCGTTATGAAAAAAATTGGTCAACAAATTTTAAAATTTGGTAGTAAAGAAAATTGGTTCTGTAGCGGGTCCTTTCCCGACAGTACCAGCTGCGATGACTTGAACTTGATATTCGGTTGCCGGAGTCAAGTTTGTCAGTTCGAAACTTGTTCTCGTCCCTGTTGTTATATCCTGGAAATGCCAGATGCTCTGAATATTCTATTCTTATTCAGAACAGACGCGTATGCGGTTCGGCCTGACACAGAGAGTCTTAAATATATTAAGTGTATCATCACTGGTGGTAGGACCTCTTGTGAGTCCGCACGGGTAGGTCCCACCACCCCGCCTATTTCTGTCGTGAATCAGTAATGCGTTTCGATTTGAAGGGCGGGGCAGCCGTTGCAACTGTACTGAGACCTTAGAACTTATATCTCAAGGTGGGTGGCGCATTTACCTTGTAGATGTCTATGGACTCCAGTAACCCCAAAACCAGGTGGGCTGTGAGCTTGTTCACCCATCTAAGCAATAAAAAAAACAATAGCGAATAATTGTTTGCAAAAATATAAGACTACAAAAAATTGTCGAGAGAATAAAGAGTACGTTATCACACAAATCCGTATTACAGAGTTTTTCGTATAAATTCGATCCTCAGAAATTTTTTCAGCAAAAAGCACAGCATCTGTTATACATAATTAATACTCTTTGTAATACTCTAATAGTTTTCGTATTAATGCGATTATTCATCAAGATGTCTTTTCAGCTAGATATACATATTTATGTACCTACCTGAGGTTCAATGTTTTGTTGCTTAGGTTTCAAACGCAAGTGGTAATGAGTTGGATCGTCTGTCCCTGGGATGTAGGAATACGACCATTCCAGCTGAGCGCTGGTGTCCGTGACGTCTGACACATGGACGCTGTGCGGTGTGCGTGGTAATGCTAAAACGAAAATGATAGTATTATATAATCCCTGTTCTAGAATGACCAATGATCGACCTGGTTTGGAGAGATTGGCGATGGTCATAAGCTTTTCTTGCTTTACCAGAACTGCTGGCTGCCGTCGAGGGTGCAGTCAGTAGGAGAAGGTTTGCTAACAACTCCCGGAGCACCCGAGAAGGTGGTATTACAGCTCAAAATCAGTTGCTTCGCGAATGCATCTAGCACAGAATCATAATCGACTGAGGGCCTACCCTCTGAAGAAATTAATCGAGAATTATTTTTTTATCCTTACCTATTCGCTGGCAGCCTAAAGGGGTATTCGAGCTACGCCCGGACTGGTAGGTGAGCTCACGGGCTCTATCTGAGAGAATTTGCTAACATTAGCCCTAGTAAGAGCAGTGCTTCGGAGGATCTATCACTGGAAGAAACTAAAAGGCCAAATGTCACGTTAAACTTTTCGGCGGGAATGGTGACCTGTGCTGTTAGTAGAGTTAGTATTAGTAGCTTCTAACATAATCGAGAGTTGATCAGGTGTATTGATAAGGATGTGCCTAGGTCGTCTACGATCATAGGCTTCAGCGTGAGTAAGATCTGGGTTGATAGTTAACGGCAGCTACGATGTTTTCGATCGCATTGATATCATAAGCGTTTCGACTTCTTTTTTCCTACCTATGCTGATATCCTTGAGAGGCTATTTCAGCTTCACCCTAACGTGTAGGTGAGCTCACGGGGCTCAAACCCGAAGTGTTGCTAACACTGGTCCTAGCAAGAGCAGTGCTTCGCAGAATCTACCACCGGATCGGAAACGCGACCCACTGAGATCCGGCGAGAAACTCAGTGGGCTGTGTTTCGACACTGTCTCGATAACATTACCGAATGACATTTACGATGAACCAACACTATCTAATAAAATAAAATTCGGTATATAAAACGGTCTATCCATAGTATTTATTAGAAATAATATACATATATCAAAACCTATCGAAATCTACCGTCAAACAAGGTGAAAATTTCTTGCCTAAACGGTTTATTTATTAAACAGTATTATAAAATACTTACGTCTGATTTTAACAGCGGTCGTCACTGAAGAAACAAGCTCTCCCGTTTTAAAGACACATGTGTATTTACCTTCTTCTGTAACGTTTGTTAGTGTCAGATCATGCTTTGACACTGTATTGTCTTCGGGAGTCAGCCATTCTGATCCTGTAGGCGGTGAAAAATTACAATACTCATTGAGAAACTTTCTGGTTTAAGTAATTATTATTAACTAACAAGGACCAACTAAACTGTGACCATTTAATAAATAAATTTATAAATTAGTAGCTGTCCCGGCAGACTTCGTAGTGCCTCAGTCGATAAATAAAAGACCTAAACTTTTGTATAAAATAAACTTAATATAAAACAAACAAAAGGAATCCGTCCGACGGGGGACACATCAAAGGAAAAAGAAACTTAACGATAAGCAGCGGTTTGGCTCTGCCCATGGCATTGCTGAAGTTCACGGGCGAGGGTAACCACTCACCATCAGGTGGGCCGTATGCTTGTCTCCCTACAACAGCAATAAAAGGAAAAAAAACTATTGACTACGGTGCTAGCTTTCAAATAAAATCAGCTAATTTGCTAATTTTTATTATTATTAAAATTAAATCTATTTACATTAGTCAACGCTACAACAGCCAAACAAAGCTTAAGTTTATACCTAACCTTCGAGCTTATCATTAAAGTATTTAACCTTTCAACCTCAGCGTTACATACTAACCTGACTACTCAAAGATCACAAATCATCACAAATCTTTGAAGCGTCCGTGGAATTAATAGTAGGTATATTATCTTTCTATGTATCTTACCAGTGCATTCGTAAATAGATGTGACTATGTTTGGCTTCAAACCGTCCATAACATCACATAATATAATCTGTAAAATTATTAACAATAAAAGACAGAAATGTCTTTGAACTAGTCATGCGCTCAGCTTTAAATATCATTCAAACTTGAATCTCATGTCTTAAAGTTGATAGCGGCATACACGTTCTGATATCTATGGGATTTGTTAATGAGGTATTAGGTGAATCATGATATCGTTGCGCGTAAAGAGTACAAAAAAGCCTTTGCCTTTTCTGGATTTTTAAAAGAATTACCTTTCTTCCATCTAATCGTAGGGGTCGGGGAGCCGGTTGCGGAGCATTTTAATGTCACAGTGCCTCCTTGAGCAACATATGCAATTGGAGGAGGTGGAAAGAGATGAGCGTCAGATGCTGCAGGACAAAAACAAGTTTTAAACAATGAGAAAAACTTCGTGAATTAAGTTGTTAATTTTTTTTCGTCTTCTAAGGAAAAATAAATGTGTAGTTACCAAGTAATGGTTAGAGTTGCTAATGAAAATCGGCAATGTCAGAGACGCATCCATACTATTGTCTTTCGCCAAGACTTATCAAAGCACGTGTAAAGATATGGTAAGCAATAAAGCGCTTGAGGAACATCGTGGAGAAGCGTTTATTACAGCCAGATAATACCTAAGTGGCAAAAATGATGTCGTTTAAGGTAGACTGGAAATATATGAATTTACTCTATTATCAAAACTCACTCGACGTAATATATCTGATCATATATATAAATTAAACGAGCATTTGTAATAGTCTACAAGTAAAACTGACTTTAACAAATTTAAAGTCGCTAAGTTAACCGCTGCTGTGGTAAGATCGGAAAAAAGTATACATCGTTTTTGGGAAAATTAAGTTGTTCTATGTATTATGATGCTATAGGTACTCAATCAATAAAGCTTAACTACTAATAGCTTTAAGTAAAGCCCCAGAATCATCGGTAGCTTTAGACTAATACTCACATGGCGCACTTTCGACTAGCCCTTGCAGTAGCAGAGTGCAAACCACCAATGAGGAAATTAATCCAGCTGGTTTATCCATATTTGTTCTGAAATATAATTTGAAGGGATTTTCATCAGCGCAACTATATTGTTCTGTATTTATTCTGTTCGTTATGTATCGTGTAAAGTTCCTAAATAAATGCATATAAGGAAATTCTTAGACAACGGACGTTTTGGCTAGACTGCATTAGAATCTCTCTCTCTCTCCCCTTCTCTCTCTCTCTCTCTCTCTCTCTCTCTCCGCTTCTCTCTCTCTCTCTCTCCCTCTCTCTCTCTATCATCCCTCTCTCTCTCTCTCTCTCTCTCTCTTTCATCTTTTATAGGACCAGAGATGTATTGCCGGATCTATCAGTCCACATGTGGGGACTGTTTCGTAACAATAAATATTTAGCGGAGTCAAAAACTTCTATGGTACCTATCCTTATTTGATTTAAGCATTTAACACTGGCCATCAATGTTTGAATTGATATTAAATATTCGCGCTATTTTAATAACCGTGCCGACTTACAATACGCCTTATCACCAGTCGATTATTAAAGCAGTGGCAGACGCCGAAGTGAAAATTGTGTGTTCTGCGATCATTAACTTGTTTATGAAAATTTAAATATCAGCGAGGGCATATTCGTAAAAAAAAATATTTAAAGAAAAAAAAAATTTGTGTGTCTCCATTTATGTTTTACAAAAATCAAATTACACAAAGTAAAGTGTTTTTAACCGGCCTTATAACCCCACTAGTTAAAACATGCAACTGTAGGTACGTTATAACATTGTTTAAAATTCTCGTTAGATAAATAGGTTAGGTATTAGGTTATCAATGTTGTTATTCGTTTAGGTAATAACACGTTTTAATTACGTTTGATGATGAATTATTATATAAAACATAGCAATGTTTTTATATATACTTAGTAGCTTTAATAAACAAGAATTCCACATGACCACGACTGCTCTACCAAGAGCAACCGACTATGATGATGAAGAAAGAACTTAGTACTTTTTTCAGTTGGCTTCAACGATTGGATGGTATATTTATTTATAAACCACATCAAGACAGTTCTGTATTAGCTTAACATTTAAATTATATCCAATAGGTTCTTTATTTATCCACGTGATTAATAAAAAATAAGTGATGCGTTCTAACATAAACAAGAATTCATAAAAAAAATTAAGTACCTCTAACCTCTTAATGTGTTTGCTATACTTTTTAATGGTATTTAATGTATAATAATTTAATTATATTCTGTTATTTTTAAAAACGTTATAATTGTTGTAAGTAGCGCTCACCTCTTATCTTCTGAGATTCAAGCACAAATGAAGCGTGACAATATTATATACTTACTAGCTGACCCGGCAAACGTTGTGTTGCCTTAAATAAGATTTTTAGGGAAATTCTACTGTAGAAAAAAACCTCATTTAACCACATAATACCTCGTTTTAAACAAAAAAAAATATCCAAAAAATTAAAATAAAAAATAAATGTTTGGGGTGGACAACCCTTTTCACTTAGGGGTATGAAAAATAGATAGTAGCCGATTCTCAGACCTACTGAACATACTATTGATAGACAAATAAAACCAAAAAACATGGCTGATAAATGTATAGTATTGTATAGCTCTCAAATATATTAAGTGTATAATCTATGATGTATAGTGAGTAAGTAAGACAGGAGACCGGCTTCGTCCTCATCCCTACTACGTGATGTTTGCTGGATGAGTGGTGACACCTGGCGGGGATAGCTGATCGATTGATAGTTGATCAGTAGTCGATCGGCGAGGGCGGGAGATCAAATTCAATTTAAAAAAAATCATAATTAAAGGAACTTGAAATTATAAACTCTGAATAAGAATTTATCGTACTACAATTATAATATTTGATTGCCATCTTGCAACCTTATTGCGGATCTTGCGGCAAAGGATAAAAAAAAAATTAATCGGGATGGAAAAATAGGGGTTGATCGTATAAGAGTGAAAATTGAGAGTAATATGATTGTTTTTATTTTAAGTCATGGCAAAACAAAATAAAAAACTTGCCAAAAAAAATTAAGTTTATAATTGACAAATAAAAAATAGGGGTTGATCATAGAGGGATGAAAATTTGAGAGTAACATCAGATTTTTTATTTTAATTCATGACACAATAAAAATAAAAATGAAAATCTTGCCAAAAAACATAAAGTTTATAATTAACAAATAAAAAATAGGGGTTGATCGTAGAGGGGTGAAAATTTCAGAGTAATATGATTTTTTTATTCTACGTCATGACAAAATAAAAACAAAATTCTCGCAAAAAATTTTAAAGTGTTTAATTAGCAAATAAAAAATAAGGGTTGATCGTAGAGGGGTGAAAATTTAGGGTTGTATGTATTTTTGTATGCTGTATCATAAAAAAAAACAAATTTACAAATAAAATTTTAGGGGTAGACCACCCTTAACATTTAAGGGCATGAAAAATAGATGTTGTTCGATTCTCAACCCTGACCGATATGCACGTTAAGATTCACGAAAATCGGTCGAGCCGTTTTTATACATTAGATATGTATATCTAACAGACTAGTTAAGTACGTTCTAGAAAATAATCTTTATAATTTACTTTGAATCGACTTTTTGCAAGCGTTAAATTTATTTTGTGATGAAATTTAAAAAGGTTAATAAATATTCGAGTACGGTTTTCGTTTACGTTTTAACAACTTTTAATTATGTTTTAATGAAATAAACACTCCTTTGTTTTGGGACTGATAGGTATTGCGTATATCGGAAAATATGTCAAGGTTTGCAGAAAAAATAACAGTGTGCTAAGAGAAAACAAATATTTATTAAACGCTTATTAAAAAGCCCGTAAATAAGTTTGATTGTTATTGTTAGGTAATCATGAAAAAGACATGACGCTCAATTAATGATTCCTCAATTAATAACCTTTCTGAAATATTTTAAAACTTGTATTACCTACTGGTGGTAAGACATCTTGTGAGTCCGCACAGGTAGGTACCACCAGGCGTTTCGGTTTGAAGGGTGGGGCAGCCGTTGTAACTATACTGAGACCTTAGAACTTATATCTCAAGGTGCGTGGCGCATTTACGTTGAGAATTGTCTATGGGCTCCAGTAACCCCTTAACACCAGGTGGGCTGTGAGTTCGTCCACCCATCTAAGCAATAAAAAAAAGTTTAGTGTAACATAGCCACGGTTACTCCTTCCTCTTGCCTCGATAATCCTTAATGCTGAGGGTCGTGATCTCTTTTAATAACTAGCTTCTGGATTATTTTGCGCCAGCCCAGCCTATCCTCAGCTGTGCGGATGGCACGGTGGACTGCAGTGTGGAGGTTATGGTTATATAAGTGTTGCACGTCATTACAGACCCTCCCGATCCATTAACGGTGCTTTTAGGCACCACAAGCACCGGTCACTGTCCTCGTCGAACCCGTCGCTTGCGACGAAGGACTCGATGAGCCAGTTAACCCATAGACACAGCCCACTGAGTTTCTCGCCGGATCTTCTCAGTGGGTCGCGTTTCCGGTCCAGTGGTAGATTCTGCGAAGCACTGCTCTTGCTAGGGTCAGTTTTAGCAACACTCCGGTTTGAGCCCCGTGAGCTCACCTACACACGTTAGGGTGAAGCTGAAATAGCCTCTCAAGGCTATCAGCATAGGTAGGTAAAATAAAAAAAAAAGTAAATAAATAATAGTTTAAAAAAACTAAGAAACACGCTTTATATAAAATTCAACTAAAAAATAGAAAATAAATTTTAATAAATTTAAATTTAAAATAGTGTAAAAAAAATATATTTTATTGTAAAAAAAGCGTATTGCATTGCATTTTGTAATTTTTAGGTAGGCTCAAGGGCTCACCCACCTACCTATCTAGTGAAATTATAACCAACAGAATCTTAAATTAATTTTGGATTTTGTTAAAAACAAGAAGGCATAAAATGTGGCGGTTTGAAGCGGTATAAACCACACGTTTGTAATAAGCGACATTTCATAATACATTATGGAGCAGCACTCAACTCAACTGTGTTTGAGGAATTCATATCGCGTACTATGGTCGTATGTCAAACAAAGTGTCTTGATACAAAGCGCTCGTGTTTATGAACTAGGGGTAGTCACAAATGCGTACAGTCAGAAAATTAAATTCATTATACCATTTTTTTTTGCAATCCCTTACAATTTTTGGTATAAATACCTTATACGTGCTCATGAACTACCTTCACGCTTTCCAACCCTCAAAATTTATTCATTTATAGGGCGTTTATTAAACTACCATCTGGTCCGTTTTTATCTCTAAGCGATTATAGATCAGATATTAAGCTGACCTTGTAATCTACAATCCAAAAAATATATTTTATTGTAGTCGATTTGGACAACCCTATAGATATAGTGCAGACCGCGCTTGGAGGCTTACACACAAGTTACTGTCCCTAATGAGTTTAGAGTTCGTGTTTTCAACAACAAGATTACGAGATGATTTTTTTTTGTTCTCTGGCAATACTGATGACAAATGGCAACATGCAGAATTTTTAAAATGGTCTTTAACTTTTTCTAGCGTGATGGGAAATTGTCTAAACAGGAGTTCTTCCTTAAAATTTAAGGATTATGATTATTGTAAATATTACTTTATCAGTTTTCTTTACGTTTTGAAGTTGAGGTGACCAATGGGTGTGACGTAATTTTAACTGTATCGAGTGATGAGATTGTCGGGGCGTTCGAATGTTGCAGACGGATAATAGTTCTTCTAATTAAATACCTACGTACCTATAAGACTTCCACGGCAAAGCCATAACATCATGTAATAAAAATTAATTCCAAAAACAGCTTGAGCTCATGTCATTTTTTTTTTTTTTTTT